ACACGTGACAGTATCATTCTAAAAAGGCCGCGCCATAGCCCAAGCGGTTAGTCACTGGCTTCTCACTGCAGCGGCCCGAGTTTGATCCCGGGTCTGGTTAAGTGGGATTTGTGGTGGACAAAATGGCACTGGGGCAGGTTTTCTCCGAGTACTTCGGTTTCCCCTGCCNGTGCAAAATCTGTGGAAATTCACCTGAAAGTACTCAAATTGTGTTTCACAAATTTTTTGCTCAACACTTTGAACAAGACCATCACTACAGATGGCGGGCTGACCATCTCGCTCTTCATCGTGAACACTCTACACCACTGTCTTACAGTTGCTTCCCTCATTACATTTCAGTCATAAACTGTGCATAATTTATGATTGATTTCTGCAGTGCTCATGATTATAGTGCGAAGAAAGCAGATAACATTGCAAATTTCAGGACACATCATAACTCACTCTGTAGAGACAAGAACAAACACTAGGTGACCAGTTATGTGATGGTTTACAAGGCAATGAATCATGTGACTCTACCTCACATGAACAAGCTCTCCTCCTCTCTTATATTATTAGCCTAAAAAAAAACAGATGTTATTTTCCAAATAGCCCTCCTATGAAATCCAGTGTATTCAGTTAAGATTCTGACTGACATTTTACTTAAAATGGGTAATTGCATGAAATGAGCATCTGTAGTATGAATGATTTTTACCTCAAAAAATTATAAGATTGTGGGATGCAATTTATTGACCTGATGAATACTGAGGAAGATGTCTAAAAAATTAGTTTTGGCAACAAGAAGAGTAGTAATCATGTGACACATGTGCAATCCTGCATTTTGTATACTAAAGATACTGATATTAAGTTAATAACTGGTTTAACAAAAAATAAAAATTCCATCATAACGACTGTACAGAAACTTTAAGTTAAAAAAATAAAAAAGTGATAGTCCATTGTGGTTAATGGTGCATTTGACCGATATATTTTACTGATGGGTTCCAAACATTTCAATACCAAAACCCATCAAAATTTCTTTATTCACACTTGTACTGTTGAAATTTTACACAAGGTAAAACTTATAGCTACTACTATACCATTATGTGTTAGTGACTAGACATGGAATTTGGACTTAAAATTGGGTTTACTGGACTGTTATAATTCATAACTACAAATGATTACAACACTACAACAAATTTACATACCCTCTAAATTACTATAACTACACCACACACGTCTTCTCTTTATTATTCTGTAATCACTAGTCATTACTAGGTATCAGTTGCTAACATACTGGAGACTCGTCATGGCCAACCACGAACTGCCACTGTTCACTTGCAACTCATGACTCTAGCTGACTGCTGTTGGTCTTTCTTACACAGCCTCAGCATGGACCACACAGAAAATCCTTCTCCCAAAAGTTCTTCTATTGTTACGTGCCAATTTATTGCTGCAGAAATGTGTTTACCGCATGAATGCCTTGCAATGGCAGCACAGAAAACACCATGTCCCTTATTGTTGAATCATTATCTGTTGTTGTGAAAAAGTGTGTGCGGTGCCCCTGCCTAAAAGTGACTGCCTCTACTTGTTCCACTATTTGGGCTTTCAGCTAATTAGCCATCACACTTTCATTCAGGGGGATGGTCTCCATAAAATATCAAAATTCAATCAAAATCATTACATCCATTTGTGAGAATACTGGACTCCTTTTTTTTTGGAGCTGGCTCAGGTTGCATAAACTCTTGAATACTGAATATGAATAAAATCCATTCAACAATTTAAGCATACATCCTTACGTGCGGACAGTTGGTGTACCAAGAAAAACGCTCTTTCATATGAGGGGACTTCAAAATGTGTAAATCTGTCAAAATCAAAATCCTTCCTCATATGTATTACATACATGAGAAAATAAATGATGAAATTCTTGTGGGACATTACTCACCTATATGCCTGGGTCTCATACCACTGTGCTCCAGATTTCAGACCACGTTTAATGTTTGCATCATTGTACTTCTTCTTCAGACCCACTTGGACGTCATACAGATGTGGATATGGTATACCAACCTAAAAGTACAACAGCTATATAATAAACTAATAAAACTGAATTGTTTAACCCTTGCACATTGTATCACATTGGAGGTGGTGCAGAGGCCAGCATGAGCAATTTCAGTGTAAGAAATGAGGATTAATGACTTTTAAATATTATGGTGCAGAGCTTCTACTTTACAGTGTCCCTTTGCTGACTTACAGTTATAACTCCTCTTGCTCGGTTATCAGCAAAGTCCAGTCCTTCACTAACTTTGCCGCGCATAATTGCGAACAGTAGCGGGCCTTTTCCAATTCCAAGCTCACACTGATGAACAGATCTGTAATATGCCTGGATTGTAGGCAAGAAATCTTTGTTACCCTGCATCTCACACAGCACTTCCTTGTGTGTTTCCAGCTCCTCCCAGATACCACTTTTCACCCAACTGTAACAAGACTATCAATATAAAGACAAGTTCTATTCATGTGACATCAGAGTGGCCTGCAATCTGGGTTTCAAAACTGCAACCAAGACTCACATCATACGAGTTTAAAGAGAAATAATGAACTGAAATTTTCAGTCATAATGATGGATCTTTTAAATCTGCATTTACATTCTTGGGTGATGAAATGAGCTGATATGAAAACATTTTTTGTATCCATTAGCAGTTCCACCTTGAAGAGGGAGACTGTTAATGTTTGAGCCATTATCCAAGAACAGAAAGAAGAGTCTCATTCAGGTGCTTCGGAAGCATACACACATTCACAAGCGCACACATAAATGAAAATATAATAATCCTAATATTTCTACAGAAATACAAACTTCAGCCAATAACAGAAATAGAACCATGTGTAGATGGCTTGAAAAATAAAAGTGCACTATAAAAATCACATTTTACCACTACGTCATATGAACGTGTGTCCCCTGTCACCACATCATGGCATGTCCTCAGGTTGCAGATGGCAGATGGAGGAGACGGCCTCCAGACATGGAGGGTAGCTGCGAATATACTGAATAAGCAGTTGCAGAGAGCTGACAAGGGGTGGTCCTCTAGCTTGGGGGTTGGAAGTGAGGCTTACAACTACTCACCATAAAAAATAAGCTGGAAGAAATCTCAAAATATAATTTATTTTTAGTGGGGGTACAGGAGGTATGATGGGACCCACGTGGCTCAAAACCAGGAGGTGAATATACATCTTTATAGGGCAAGGGGAGTGAGAATCATGATTTAGCTACATGTATTTTCTACATAAGGTAATTATATCACCAGTTAAGAGGGCAGGGTTTGTTAGTGATAGGATATCACACATAATACTAAGAGGTTGCTGGTGTGATATCGTTCCGAATGTTCACGCCCCAACAGAAGATAAAATTGATGACATGTTCTATGAAGAACTAGAACATGTATTTGATAAATTCTCTATACAAAATATGAAAATGTTGTTACATTTCAATGCCAAAGTAGGTAGGGAAGACATTTTCAAAACAACAACTGGGTATGAGAGTTTGCACGAAATTAGTAATGATAATGGATTTAGAATAGTTACTTTGCCACATCAAAAATCTTATTGTCAAAAGCACAATGTTCCCACATCATAATATCCATAAATCTAAACCAATTCTATATGCAGATGACACTAGTATAATATTTAAGAACTCTAAATTTGACAACTTTAAAAATGACATAAATATTGTATTTGAAGCCTTAAACAGATGGTTCGAAGCCAATTTACTCTCATTAAATTTTGATAAAACCCATTACATATCATTCACAACTAAAAACAACCACCAAATTGATCTGGACATCAGTTATGCCAACAAATTAATCTGTAAAGTACTTGATACAAAATTCCTTGGAATACATGTAGACAGTACACTGTCTTGGAAAATACATATTGAACAAATTATACCTAAATTAAATGCAGCTTGCTATGCGATGAGATCAATTAAGCCTTTTATGTCACAGGAAACATTGAAGATGGTTTACCATGCCTACTTTCATTCTATTATGAACTATGGATTAATATTTTGGGGGAACTCTTCACATAGTGTAATAATTTTTAAAATACAAAAGAATATAATAAGAATCATTACAGGATGTAGAAGTAGAGATTCATGTAGAGAATTATTTAAGAAATTAAAAATTCTACCGCTTCAATCGCAATACATATTATCGCTTCTCCTATTTGTTGTTTACAACAAAGATAAATTCAAATTAAATTCTGATGTCTATAACATGAATACTAGACAAAAATACAACTTCCACCTACCCTCATCAACTTTATCAGTATATCAAAAAGGAGTCTACTTTACTGGCATAAAAGTGTTCAACAATCTGCCACAAAGTATTAAAAACTTGGGCAATGATACTAAAAAGTTTAAATCAGAGTTAAAGAATTATCTACATGCTCATTCCTTCTACTCTTTAGATGAATACTTCAATGTAAATAGAGAATGATGTAAAATTAAGTTATATTAATTTTTAAGCTAAAATTGCCTGTACTTATGTATGTAACATTTTGACTTGTTCTGTATCCAAAGGTACTAACCTGCTTAGGATTTATAGAATGTAAATAAATTCAATTCATTCAATTCAATTCAATAAATTTAATTGGACATCTCCTGCTGACCATATTCTGATAGACAGGAGACAACATTCAAGTATACTTGATGTCCAATCATTCATGGCAGCAGATTGTGATACTGACCAATACCTGGTGGTGGAAAAGGTTAGGGAAAGACTGGCATTAAGCAAACAAACAAGGCACAGAGTTCATATGGAGAGCTTCAATCTCACAAAATTAAACGAGGCAGAGGGTAAAGAGCAGTGTGATGTTGAAATCTCAAATAGGTTTGCGGCTTTGGAAAACTTGGAAACTGAGGTGGATGTTAATAAAGCTTGGGAAACTATTAGAGAGAATTAGGCACAATAGATCACTGTGGTCACAGTGCAAGGGCCAAGAAGGCCCACCCCTTATACATTCATTCATTAGAGAGAATATAAAAATGTCTACCAAAGAGAGTCTAGGTTATTATGAACTGAAGAAGCACAAGCCATGGTTAAATGAAGGATCGTCAAAATTATTAGACCAAAGGAAACAAGCCAAATTGCACTGGTTACAGGATCCAAATGAAATAAAGATTATAAGATGTGAAACTAGCAGGCATTTCAGGAATAAAAAGAGGGAATATCTGAAAGACAAAATTGATGAGCTTGCAATGAACAATAAGAACGAGAACATCAGAGACCTGTATAGAGGAATAAATGACTTTAAGAGGGGTTACAAACCTAGAAGTAACTTAGTGAAGGATGAGAATGGTGATCTGCTTGCAGATTTCCACCATATTTTGAATAGGTGGAAGAACTACTTCTCTTAGTTATTGAATGTACATAGGGTCAGTGATGTTAGGCAGACAGAAGTACATACAGCTGAGCTGTTAGCATCTGATCCTAGCACCTCTGAGGTTGAAATTGTTATTGCAAATTGAAAAGGTATAAATCGCCAGGTAGTTATCAAATTCTGGCAGAACTGATTTAAGCAGGAGGTGAAATATTACGTTCTAAGATCCCTAAGTTAATTAATTTTATTTGGAATATGAAAAAAATTGCTTGATCAGTGGAAGGAGTCTATTATTGCACCAGTTCAGAAGAAGGGCGATAAAACTGACTGTAGTAATTATCGTAGGATATCATTACTGTCAACTTCATACAAAATTTTATCCAATATTCTTCTCTCAAGGGTATGTCCATTCATTCATCTGTAATCTGTCAAGACGACAGGTCCACAGTCTCTTCCAAAACAGTTCCTCCACTTGATGCGATCTAGAGCTTTCTCCTTCAAATGAAAATATCCTCTTCTGTCCCCCAGGTCATCCAGAATCTTCTTACGTCTTCTTCCTCGTCTTCTGGTCACTTCTATCCGCCCTTCTATCTTTCCTTCAACAACTTTTTTAGAAGGCAGTTACCGCGTAAGATATGACCAATCCAATTAGCCTTGTTGCATCTCAAATTTGAGATTGGAAATTGTAAGGCATTACCTAAATTCTGAGACTTGCGAAAAGTGTTTTGCAGCCATTACATTAGTATGTCAA